CGATGTTCCATGTGGGGTGGCCGTAGACATCGACCTTTGCGTTGGGGTCCTTGACGAAGTCGGTCTCGGTCCAACCCTGGCCCTCGAAGAACTTAGAGAGAACGTCGTAGGCGGCATCGTCGTAGCGGACACCATCTTCGGATCCGTAGGTTTGACCGGGGTTACGCTCGTACAGACGGTCAGCCGCCTTGGCGACATCGGTCCACTTCCAGCCAGCGGGCCACTTGTCGTTGAAGTCGCGCTCCTGGGGCTTGACGTACATCATGGCGTTGATGGCAGTGCTGCCACCGAGCAGGCAGCCAGCCATATCCGCAGTGTCAGCGCAGTAAGCAGGGCTACCGACATCGCTGAGGTAGTATCCGTATCCAGGCACATCGTACATGGAGACAGTGTCGTTCCACGGCATGACCTCAGTCTTGCCAGTGAACGCGTACGATGGGCCACCACGCTCGATCAAGAGGACAGACGCGCCGCTCTCGGCAAACCTCTCAGCTGCGATGATACCGGCGGCGCCACCTCCAGCAACGATGTAGTCGTAGGTAGAGTTTGCGATGGTGGCTGTGGTGTTTCCACCGGCTGGGGCAGTCGAGTTACCACCAGCTCCTGGAGTAGTAGAGTTACCAGCGCCGGGGGTGCTAGGAGTGCCAGCTACCGCGAGGGCAGCCCACTTCTCGAAATCGGGGCTAGTAGCGTTGCTCATGGGTAGTCCGAAAGCTCCGAAACCAGCGTCGTGGTAGTTGAGAACCGCGCCAGCAGTCGAGGAGTCTGCGAGCGGCTTGTCAGAGTAAGCCCAACCCTGAACATTGACGCTTGGGTCCTCATAGATGACAAGGCCAGTAGCTGGGTCGTCGCTTATGCAGTTTGAGCACAAGAATGTGTATGAGAAGGCGGTGTCGTTGACAAAAGTACCGTCTGGGATAGGAGACATGGTGAAGTCACCGGTCTTGACAGCTGGGTTGGTGTAGCCAGTTGCCTCCCGGAAGGATGCAAGGACCTTGTCCTCGTGAGGCCAAGCAACAACTAGCAGGTTACCGGTCATAGATTGTCCCAGACTGAAACCAGCCCAACCTCCATCGTTGGTGATGGGTGCTTGAAGCTGAATGATGACATCCGTAGTAGGCTTCTCAGGTAGAGCATAACCCAGCGTGTAGCCGGAAGAGTGATGGTAACCCTGGAAGGTGATGCCCGTCTTTTCATCTGTGAACTTTCCAGATGTTTGCGCCGATGCGCCAAGAGCCAGAATGGCGGTGGAAAGAAGGAATGAGCGTGCCATTGTGACGCTGTGAGTGATGACTGAAGTGGAGGAAAGAATGGTGTGGCACTGCCGCAAAAAAAGAGTGTGAAGCCGTCAAGGCTGTAAAGAATGACTGGAAAGCAACGTTCGTAGAACGAGCAAGTAAAGCGAAAGAATGGACAAAAGCGAAAGAGCGTGTACCGAATAAGTCGCCGCAAGATGCATCCTTATATGAAGACAATACCCATTGTGGACCATGTTTCCCTCAATCTGCCACTTCCAAGGATGAAATCCTTCTCCGACCTAGCGCCCGTCAAACAAGCTCATGATGCAGCCTCACCACGTTGTCAACCTGGAATCTGGACCTCCGATGCCCAGGAACATGGTTCATAGGTGGCGCTACAGGTGTCAGAACGGTCAACTGGCGTTTGCACCACTGTGCTAAGTAGATTGGGTGGAGCTTGGACGGAAATATGCCGACGCACTGTTCGGTAACACGGTCGCGTTCATTCGTCAATGAGGATGTTTCATGTTTCCATGGCATGAACCTGACGTTGAGGTGGATGCTAGAGCCGTTTCGAAACGCCGCCAAGGCAGGAACCGCTATCCTTTGCAAATTGCGCGTGGGCCTCCAAGCAAAACACCATCTGCCATGGATTGCGCTCGCAGTTCGTGGGCTTGAGTGTTGAGTCGGGTGTGCCTCATCGGCTGTTGCACCCGGTGGCTGCAGGAGTCAGGCTGCTTTGATCACTGTGTGACCCGAAGCCGAATGCGAAAAGCCATGGGTCGTGTCAATTTTCGGCGTCGGTCGTTCTGCAACAATCAAAATCCGGCAGAACGGCATTTTCGAAGAATTGCATCGATGCAACATCGGGATTTTGAGAAGGTGACGCGCAAAGCCGACGGACTTTCGCGCGTGCATGCCTCGACATTGTTGCGGCGACGCGACCTGCGATCTTTCTGGGGATAAGTACGACGTTGTATCCGGATGACGATAGTATGGTGACTGCTCGATACTGAGCCGTGAGCGACGAGATGAAGTTGTGAGGTTGGATGCGCCCAAGTAGCTACCGTGCTAGCGGAATGCCGATTGCCGACCACAGAGGCACGGCGCAGCAGTTGAGGACGTGGACCTGTCAAGCATAGACTAGTGCATCGACAAGTTCGAGAGGTTGTTGAAATGTCTCCAAACTAGGTCGGTGGGTGTGTTCGCTGAGTAAGGAACGAGTCGAACGTGCTGATGCTGCGGAGGTGTACAGGTGGGGTAGTCGAACCTCGGCCCAGGGTGTCGCCTCCCGGTAGCTAACCACCATATACAACATCTAGACATGCCAACAGTCGGATCGATCTACCAGTACAACTTGATTACTTCTGCACGGATTCCATCGCTTTCATCACATCACAATGGCTAAAAATGAAGTTCCAGCATATGTCCTTGGTGTTGGGCTCACCAAGTTCATCAAGCCTCGACAAACCCGCGCATATCCGGAAATGGGCTACGAGGCGGGAGTGAAAGCAATGCTGGACGCACAAATCAACTACGATGAGGTTGAGACTGGTGTTGCGTGTTACTGTTACGGCGACACCACGAGTGGCCAAAGGATCTTCTACCAGTTTGGCATGACGGGGTATGGAAGTCGATAGCATTGTCCTGAAGTCCTAAGGCACTGACAGCCATTAGTATCCCTATCTACAACACAAACAATGCATGCGCCACCGGCTCGACTGGACTGCATCTGGCGCGAACACTCATCAAGAACGGAGCAGTTGATTGCGCGATGGTCATTGGATTTGAACAGATGCAACCAGGATCCATCAAATCTGCATGGAGTGACCGACCCTCTCCTATGGGGCTCTCGATGCGTATGATGGCCGATACCCGCGGTATTAGTAACTCTCCGCCCAATGCTCAGTACTTTGCCAATGCTGGTCTTGAGTACATGGAGAAGTATGGCGCTGAGGCGCGTGACTTCGCCGAAATTGCTAGGATCAGCCACGAGCACAGCCAAAAGAACCCCTACGCGCAGTTCAGGGATGTTTACACACTCGAGCAGATCGAGAAGGCTCCTATGATCCACTTCCCCTTGACCAAACTCCAATGCAGCCCGACAAGCGATGGCGCAGGTGCGGCGGTGATTGTGAGCCAGAAATTCTTGGACGCTAGGCCACACCTGAAGAGCCAAGCTATTCTCATCGCGGGCCAGTCGTTGATGACAGATTCACCGCAGCTCTACTCCAAATCATCGATGGATCTCGTTGGTTACGACATGACCAAGCGTGCGGCGCAAGCCGCTTTGAAGGAGGCTGACGTCAACGCAAAAGACATCAGAGTGGCAGAGTTGCACGACTGCTTCTCAGCCAATGAACTCATTCTACTGGAAGGCTTGGGCTTCAGCGAGCCCGGAAAAGCACACATGATGGTGCGCAATGGCGACATCACATACGGCGGCAAGGGTCCCATCGTCAACCCGTCAGGCGGTCTCATCAGCAAAGGGCATCCTCTTGGCGCTACTGGACTAGCTCAATGTGCGGAATTGACATGGCAGCTTCGTGGCTGGGCCAACAACCGACTTGCTGAAGGGGCCGACGCTGCGCTGCAGCACAACCTCGGCTTGGGTGGAGCTGTTGTCATCAACGTCTACAAACGTGCCGATGGCCAGAAGAATGCGAAGATGAGTGATGAGGAAGTCAAGAAAGCAAGTCAATTCTCCTACAACCCGGCTGTGGAGGCGCGCTACGTGACCAAGGAGGATGGAGAAAAGGTCAGGAGCAAGACTGTGGCGAGCGAGTACGCTTTAGGCGATACGCTGGAGAAGATTCAAAGTCGGTTGTAGGCTCTATATAGTAGCAATTGGATAGTGTCATGCCAATCGAGCTCGCTTACCATTTCGTGTTGCTGCTAAAACTCTTCGAATTGAAATCTTGTCCTCATTTATTCCTTACTCGAAGGCTTCAGCAGCATAACAATGCTTCTTCTTAATTACCATGCAAAAGACATCACCTCCTCTTCTTGGCAGTACGGCTCGATTGTTTAGTCAACTGCGTCTCTTCAGTTATATATCTAGTCGTTTTAAGAAGAATGTTGTAGGTATCGTACTATAACTATGCTAAGCAAAGATTCCGTCGCCCTAGGAATAATCTTCAAGCCTGTCAAGCATCAAGATATGTCGACCAAGACTTTGCTAGACCAGAACTCTGTAGGCAATGTCTGTCAAAAGTGGTATAATCAGGAGATTCAGGAAAAGATAGCAATAGTGCAACTTTTCGCCACAATCCTAACATTAATGAACCCGTGGTACATCGCGATTGTCAAACAAAAGCTACACTAGGGCCGCTAATGCTCGCCTCTTCATGGGACAAAGCCTTGCTGTCTATAAGACACCGTCGCCTCGCAGAAACAACATCTACACCTTCCTAATCCAGCCCCGCGCAGTGGTTGGCCAGCGAGCTCCACCAGGCAGTCGCTGCGTCTCCTCTCTCACCGTCGGTCCTGAGCGACGTCTATCCCTCTATCACCACCACCTAGCTACAGATCTACCCCACAGAAATCGATGTCACATGGGCGCTAGTGGGTTGCAATCGACCGTGCGTCTTTGTTATCAAGTGAGTGTATATAACCAAGCTTTGTCAGTGACAAACCACCTATCCTCCGCAGCAACGGCCAGTTCGAGGCGACTATTCAGGCTTCCGTCTCACTACATTTGCGGCTTATCATCAAAAACTTCGAGTATATACCTCTTCCATCAACTCCTGATCCCTCCGCTTCATGACTCGCCCGGTTGTCAATATGGATCACTCGTACTCTCCAGAATCGCTTGAGCGGATGTCGAGTCCGGAATGGGGCCTCGACGACGACTCGCCACCACCTGCGCCCAAAGTCGTTGAGACGCGCGTGAAGTCAGAGTCTGTTCTTCCCTCACATCCGGTAAGTGACCCGTCACTGCGCCAGGGGTTACGACGAAACTATCGCGACGACCTCCAGGCTTCCATATTAGCAGCTTGTTTGTATAAGAATGTTGTCGCGAATGCTCCCTCGATAGCTTTCATGTTTACAGCGCTGACCAACCCAACAGTCAAGCGTAGACGCTGAAAACGGCTCAGCAGCCCAGGAAAGCATCTTCGTCTCAGACGACGACGTCAAAGAGGTGACGCCCGTGAAGCGCCAGCCCGCCAAAGTCCAGACAATACCCGACTCGTCAGAAGACGATGAACCCATCGCCTCCACCCGTCAGCGCCACAACCTACGCTCGTCAGCGCGCAAGCCGACCAAGCCGTCGCCGAAGAAGCCCGCTAAGGAGACCGCCGAGAAACCCAGTCCACTACCCACTAGACCGCGACCCATCTTGAAAAACGACCTGAAAGCCAAAAAAGCCGTGATCAAAAGCATCGAAGGCTTCTGGGGCAAGAACTGGGTCAAAACCTACATCCCCAAATGCCACCGTCCACTGGTAAGTACCCACCCACTACCCTACTACTTCCCACCCACCAACATCACGCAGTTCAAAAACGGCACAAAACGAAACTACAACCGCGCCCACGAAAACGACCCCATGAAATGGCTTCCCTTGGTCCTCAAATCCATCCTCATGGTCGCCAAGCTCACGAAGAACCGAAAGTGGCTTGCGGCCACCATGAACGAAGTCGTCCGCTACCGGGTCAAGAACACCGGGAACCGGAAGCCACAGCTTTGCAGCACGGACTTTGATGTCATGGAGGATATGTTGGTCAAAGACTGGGAGGTGGAGTATGCGTTTGGGGTCTGGTATAAGCATTTGCTTGTTAAGGCTAAGGAGATCCAGACTGAAGAGGATGTGGATAGGATCATGAAAGTTAGTGAGGAGGAGGATGATGGGGAGGAGGGCAGTGATGGAGGTCAGGACAGTTCTGGGGGGTCTGATTCGGAGTCGGATGACGATGTGAAGCAGAAGTTCGGCGGAGGTGCTTCAGATGGTCACCGGGTGATGGGTGGTTACCACCAGTCTCCTTCGTCGACACCTCGCGGTAAGAAGCACAAGACACCCAAGAAAGAAGCCGTCAAGGAAGAGTCGCCGACGCCACCTCATCCTCCGCCGCCCGGTATTTACGGTAGCTACTAAGGGCAGCCGCCCGTTGACTATTGGGGTCGTCCGATGATGATGCCTCCGCCGGGTAGTGGGTCCGGTGGCTATGGTGGTTATCCAGGCTTCCCCGGCTACGGCTATCCACCGTTCGGCCAACCCCCATTTCCCAGTCAGGGCCGCCAGGCTTCCCGTCAACCATCAGTCATGTACGCCCCTCACCAACCACCACCCATGGCCCATCCGCCCGGTACCCCAAATCCTGCGCGGGCAGGTCGCAACACCCCGACGGTCAAGCGAGAGTCGCCCGGCCTTGACGGCGAGCAAGTCGACAACTTCGGCAACCCAGGGGTTTTTGGTCACGAAGGAGCCACGGGCGAAGACGAGGAGAGCGTCAAGGCCGCGGTGGCCGTCGCTGAGGCGGAGCTCAAACTTGCACACCTTCGTGCCAAGCAGGCGAGCCTGGCGAGTATGTCGAAGAAGTAGAGTTCGGCGAAGGTACTTTTGGCAACGGTTTTGACTTCCCTTGGGTGAAGAAGTGGGGCTGCATGGTCAGTGAAAACCAGTTACATTCCCTGCTTCAACTTACGACGGGGCTGTGAAGCACTCGAAATGTCACGAAGAGTGTTTGATGTATAGCGAGAGAATTTGAGGTAATCGGCACTAGGCCTTGAAATAATATTGGAATAACGAGGATCTATCTCATGGATCTATGTCATATCAACGTGTCGCCTAGTAAACTTCAAGTACGTAACGGCCATCATCCTTCAGCTTGTCAATCTCCTTGCGTCCATCAATCTTCTTAGCGCCAACATTCTTAACCTTGTGCTCGACTTCGACAGCCTCCTGAAGCACCTCGGTGACATCAGGTACAGGCCATGTCGGTCCACAGAGGTAGAAGCTACCCTCCTTCTCCAGGTACGCCCTGCGGATGTCCTTGAGAGATTCCCTCATACGATCCTGAATGTAGATCTTCTGAGGCTGGTCACGAGAGAAGGCGCGGCCAAGGAGAGTGATGATACCGGCGTCTTGGTACGCCTCCCATTCCTCGCCGTAGAGGTACTCCTCACGCTGGTGACGAGAGCCCATGTAGAGTAGGACTTCACCAATCTCGTGACCCTGCTGCTTCTGGTAGGCGCGCTCCTGGACAAAGGCACGGAAAGGCGCGAGACCAGTTCCGAGACCGGCCATGATGATGGGTGCGGTAGTCTTGGTAGGAAGCTTCATGACAGATGGTTTGACGGACACGGTGACAGGCGCGCCGACCTTGAGGCTATTGAGGTAGCGAGTTGCCTGACCGAAGCGGTCGCGGCCCTTGGGGTCGACCCAGTTGACAGTGACGATGAGCAGAGAGACGGAGTTGGGTGTTACGTGCTGTGCAGAGGCGATGGAGTATTCGCGGCGCTTCATAGGGTTGACAATGCGAACGATGTCGTGGAAGCTTGGGTGGGCAGACGGGAACTCAAGGAGGATGTCGGCGTAGGTGACAGTATCAACCTCAGCACGGCGCTTGAACTCGGTAGCACCCTCAGCACTCAGAAGCTGAAGAAGTTCGCGCTTCTCACGCTCGTCATCAGCGAACTCAGCAAGTGACTCGTAGAAGCGCTTTGGTGGACGACCGAAGATGTCGACGTTTTGCATGAGGGACTGGTAGACGGTGCGGTTGACCAGAACGTTGGGGTCATCTCGAGACGGGACCTCAACGACCTCGTTGGGGTTAAGACCGTACCACTTGATGAACTCTTCAACTTGTGCCTCGTCGTTCTCTGCGTGGATACCGAGAGCCTCACCAATGGCGTAGGTAACACCAGAGTTACCGAGATCGAACTCAATGTGGAATATGTTACGGTCGTAGTTTTGCGGTGTGAGGCGGCGACGCTCCTTGACATGGACGATACTAGTCTTGAAGCCAAGATCAGGACGAACTTGGTTGGCAGTGCCGAAGGCCTCCTTGAAGGCAAAGCCCTTGGCTGCGACTTGCCAGTCCTTGAGCAGTGTCGGTGGCTCAGACTCAATGCGGTCGAAAGGAGCGAAGCTGTTGACGTTGATGTCTGAGGGGAGGCGCATGGGCTCGACATCCTCTTCAACAGTGCCCCAAGCAGCAGGGACTTCGACTTCGCGAAGAGCGCTTTCGAGCTGCTGGGTGAGCTTGTCGAAGACTTCTGAGCTACCGTTGATAGCAGCAAGCTTGCTCAGGCCAGAGGAAAGCAAGTCCTCACGAGCAATCTTCAAGAAGGCGAGCTGGGTGAGGTAAGACTCTAGAGATTCATCTTCAGCGACAGCCTCAGATGAAGCAGGGTCAAGGACGAAGAGCTGAACATCCTTGTCCACAAGGGCCTTGCGGAAAGCAGACGAGAGCTTCTTCTCAATGTCCTCGTTCTTTACACCGGGCAGCTTGACGATGATGGAGCTGTCAGGCTTGACGCTGTTCAGGACGTCAAACTCCTTCAGGATAGCAATGTCGCCAACGAAAGCGACATCGGCTTGCTCAACAGCGTAAGGCGCTTCGATGGTGTAGTCAGCATTGCGAATGTCAGTGCGAGTGACACCGCCCTGAACGAGGTTGTCGTGGCCGCTGCGAACGAAGACGTTCTTTGAAGAGTCACTCGAGAGAAGCTTGCCAACTACAACTGGGGCATTGGCGGCAGATGATTCGTCGAGGTTCCAGAAGCTGTACTGCTTGACGTCGGCAGTGTTCAAGATGTCGACGTATGAGCGAACCTCGGCACCCTCCTTCTCGGCGTGGATCTGGCGGAAAGCATCGAGGAAGTTGCTGGGTGTCCAGACCTGCTCGCGCGAGTACTTGACATCGGTGACCTCGACGTCCCTGTCGTAGGCGAATTGGATTGACGCCAAGACGTCCGAGTAGAGCCTGGAGTACTCCGCGGGGTCGAGCACGGCAGCCTCGTCCTTGACCTGACCAAGAACAGCAATGCGACGAGTGCTCTTGGGGAGTACCTCAAGGAAAGCCTCCTCAACGAACGGTCGGTAGACACGGACGTTGACGACACCGACCTTGTCGCCATCCTTGGATAAAGCGTTGGCGACCTGAGCGGTCAAGGAAGCCTCTACGGTACCAAAGACAACAAGTACGCTCTCCGGCTCCTCATGACCGTAGTAATCGAAGAGCTTGTAGTCCTCGCCAAGCTCATCGTTGAAGGCTTGGAGCAGGCGCAGAACGCGACCAGCGGTGTCGGAGTGCTTCTTGTCAACTTCCGAGACGGCCTTGAGCACCGCCTCGTAGCTGTTGTGTAGCCTAGTCTGGTCGAGAGTATCGACCAGTCTCGCTGTTTCCCTTCCAACACTAATGCCATCGTATGTGTGGATTGTGGGGAGGACGCTCGAGAGGAGGGTCGCGAAGAGGGACATGTGCTGAGCCTCAAAGACAGACGGGCTGCAGACGAGCCCAAGGCCTAGGTCTTCGGCGAGTGTGAGGGAGGAGACATAGTCGGTGACGAGGCCAGCGCTGGAGTTGGCGGAGTAGTCGACTGCGGCGATGTGGGCGGTCAAAGGGTTTGCGACCGAGTAGAGGGCGGAGAGCTGGTCGAGCGAGGCGCGTAGGTAGTTCAGCGTAGAAGAGGAGGCGACGATGGACTGGGGGATATGGCGCTTCTTCAAGTCATAGTCCTTGGAGAACATGTAACCCAGGGCGATGGCACCAGCACCGGTCCTCGTCTCAAGGGATGAGACACCAGTCTGGTAGCCGAAAGCATTCTTCTCGCCCTGTTCTTGCCAGTACTTGACTGCGACATCCAAGTCGAACGACTCAGCCGAGTATGCGAAGATCTTATCTGAGAGGGCGTATGCGACCTGCTGTACGAGAGTTTGGGCCGTGAGGTAGGTGGGGCCACCGATAGATTGGTAGGAGAGGTCCTGACCAAACGGTAGACTGGACGACTTCTTGGAGAAGTCCTTGGGTGCATTCTGCTCAGCACCAGGGCCGGCAGACTCAGTCTGTTGGAAATGCATCTTGATAACAAGTATGCGCCTCAGCAAATCAGCCTCTCAAACAAGGCAGTGAGAGTCTCTCTTTGGGGTATGCGAGAGAATGAGAGGTGCCACAACTCTCCGGAGGCTTCACCGTGGGAGTATATGCGTGTCGTGGGTTTGCCGCCTCGTAGCAGCCAAAAAGTGCCGTCGTCCAGTAGCGACATCGGCAGAAGACCGACCGAGCAAGACGCAATCCTTCACAGACACCATGATTGGCCCTGTCCAGATGCTCTAGCACGTCTTTCGGGCGATAGATTGCAAATGCGCGGAATGTCGCCTTGACGCGACGAGAATTTGGCCTTAGCGCGAATTGCGTGCTCGACACGCCAAGAGTCTGCGCACGTGACGGCGGGGAAATCACGGCTCTCGGAGATCTGATCAGCAACGCCGTCTCGTCTCGTCTCGTCTCGTCATCCGCTGTCCTTCGCGCGAGGCATTGTCGCCCAACACCTGGCAAATTCCCGTTGCGACGCTGGACTTTTACTCCAACGATAACCGGCAGGTTTTTTCATTACTGCATGCTCTGCGCGCCTAGGTGACACTACACAAGGCTGAGCATGAACGACTAGACGCATGAACCGGGCGCGTGCATATGGATCCAATGCCATACTATATGCGCGCAGCGGTGCAACTCATTGCAGGATTGATTTGACCGTATGTGGGTTGTGTATACCTATTGTACGCCCTTGGCGTCGTACAAATAACATTCGACAACTACAGGCCACAGCACTGCGCCTCCATCATGGCCACTTCATATCCCGCTGCTTTGCTTCTATAGAGTTTACTGGGATGAGGCGAGATCCTTCGACTAATCTCTTCACGTTCACAATCTCATAATGGAAGCCATCGGCCTAGTGGCCAGCATAATCACCCTCATCAGCGCAGCCAGCCATGTCGCCTCCCTCCTCGAACGAGTGTTGGGCCTCCGCGGCATCCCACTTTACGTCCTTGGGGCAATCAATGAAGTTACCGACTTCAAGGCAACTCTGACTCTGGTACAGACTGCAGTAGATGGAACTCAGCATCAGCTTCCGCAGGCCTATCGGGCGGAATACAACAGGCTTTTGGATCGAGCAATGGGCTGTATGGACGCCTTCACGAAGTACCTACAAAGAAATATCCTACGCGAGCGAGAAGAAGTAGCCGGCGCTGGAAAAGTCATCGAGCTGAAGAGACGTGTGAAGTGGATGGACGTGTTGGGAAGAGGCCAAGCGCAATGTCAGATCGACGCATTTCAGCAGGAGCTGACTTCCTTGAAACTCAACCTTGTATTGGCGATGAGTGCGACGAATTTGTGAGTTGCGACTCGTCTTCATAGGTCGCATGCCAGGGCCGCGAGAGACAGCTAGATCAGGCATTGTTCATGGGCCAGTTGGCTAATCTTGTGCATCTAGAAAAACTACGACTAGGCTGTCTACCATCATTCAAGATGTTACTATCGTTCACATGGGAGAAGTATCTGGAGAGCCATTAGTTAACGGCAACGCGATCAATCT